GCTCGTGCCGTCCCAGCGCGGCGCTCTGCGCCTCACAGCGCCGGGGACGGAGCTGCCATCCCTGCCGGTGCCGCTCCGAATCCCCCGAAGTGCTGACACAGAGAGCGATCGCGTTGCTTTGCCGTGTTGCAATTTGGGAGACTTTTGGCGGGCTGTTGAGGCTCTGCAAGAGGGTTGATGTTGAAACTGAAGTTTGATGAAGAAGAGCAGTGACTCCTTAGTAGTCCATTAGGCTCTTGAAATTGGGGGTGGGGAGGGGAAGAGAAAGGCCTCGCGTGGCTTTCCTTGCATAGAATCTCCCAACATCGTAAAAGAATCTTGGGCTGCTGTTTAGTAATCCTGGTGATATCCTGGAGCCTCCTGTGCTGACTGTCCTCCTTACCCTCTCCGGCTAGGATAGTGAAGCCCAAAGTGGCTTCCATGGAGGAGATGGCGAGCTTCCACACGGACGCCTACCTGCAGCACCTGCAGAAGGTCAGCGAGGAGGGAGACGACGACCACCCCGAGTCCACGGAGTATGGGCTTGGTAAGAGCCTCTGGCAGTGGAGAAAGGGAGGGTGCTCAGTTCATTTTCAACCTGAAGCTTTGCATGCTGCCTGGAGAGAAGAGTCTTTTTTTTCTCTTCAGTGTTTCTTGATTTGCTGTAGTGCCTTTTTCTTTGACAACTGTTCACTGTTTTGTTCCAGTGTGCGTTAATTGCCTGAACAAGGTGCTTATTTGGTTCATGCCAACTGGAAAAAAAAAAAAGCCATTCTCCAGAGCCTACAGAACCAGGGGGCAGCTGAATTCTGTTTTAGCTCTTGTATCTTTGCAGGAGATAGCTGTGTATGAGATCTAAAAACCTTTTTGCCGGGACTGATGTGAGGCAGGAAATGAGCTGAAGTTGGCTACTGGGTTGTGAGGGTGTGATTGCAGGTGAAGGACATGGTTTCGCTCGGGAACTGTAAACATTGTGAGAACACTCTGGTCCAGAACAGACAGATGAAAAGTTTGTGTTTCATAGCTGAGTTGATTTTTGTTGCCTCATATGTAAACAAATGATGACATAGAGGGTTTTTTTTTTTTTTGGCTTTTCAGGAACACTCACTAGAGAGCTACAGGCTTCAAATTGTAGCAGCCTGGTGGGTTCCAAAGAGGATCAGGCTGATCCGGTGCAGCCAAGTGCCCTACTTCCAGCTGGGAGCAGCCACCCACGTTTTCAGTGTGGCCAGCAGAGGGTCCCCTCGTGCTGCTGGGTGCAGCTCCCGGGGCTGCTGGGGCCTTTTGCTGCTCCTTGGGTGCAGCCCTGGGTTTGAGCTGAGCTGGGGGGTGGCTCCAAGGAGGCTGCTGTAGGGATGAGATAAGATTGTGTTCTAAAGATTGTATTTGAAGGAGGCTGGGCTTCCTTGTGGACATCTCAGTTTCTAGAAGGACAATGTACTTCAGTTGCTGTGTCAGGACTATCCAAAGAAGCAAGGTGGGTTTTTTTCAAGGTTGGTATTGGGTCCAAGCAGGCCTGGCACATGTATTAGAAGTTGGCTCAAGACCTTTCGGAGAGCCATTTGAGCACAAGAAAACATCTTGATTGCTGACATATCTATCTGTGCTACCTACGGCACCTGGATCTGCTGCGTGCGTCCAAATGCGGTATCTGCTGCGGGGACCTTGTGCCATCCTCCCCGCGTGCTCCGAACAGGGAGTCAGAGCTGTGCCTGTGCATTGGTAGCTCCGAGCGAAGGGGACACGCTTCTCCCGGAGGGAATGGGCGCCGTGGGTGATGCTCCGGTTCTCGCCTGCAGGTTATGACTGCCCCGCTACGGAAGGGATCTTTGACTACGCGGCAGCCGTAGGAGGAGCCACCATCACGGCAGCCCAGTGCCTGCTGGACGGCAAGTGCAAGGTAGCGATTAACTGGCCTGGAGGGTGGCATCATGCAAAGAAGTAAGAAAACAATCTCTTCCCTTATATTTTTTTCACCTGGTGTCTGACCCTCTTAGCTCCCAGCTCTGCCCCGGGAACCCTCAGAGTGAAGCGATTGAGTAGAAGAGAGGAAGGTGGGAAGACAGGAGGTGGATAACGAAGGTCCTGGTGTGGGGCAGAGGCTTGAGTGCCTGGTGGTTTCTGCCAGCGCTGATCCTATTGTGGACTGAAACATGGCTCTCGGGCAGTAGTATTCCATGGTTTCTTGAGCCCTCTATCCAGTGATACCTGCTAATTGCCGGGAGGCCAAGGGAGAATTGATTTGGCCAAGCACTTTATGGTCCCTAGAAGAAGGGCTGTGAAAAGACAAATGATAGGTATTACTTCAAACCCAGAAAAGAATATGAATGTTTATCTTTTGTGCCTTTTTCTTAAGAGGAGTGAGAGTGCAGCACTGACCTCTACTTTTTTTTCCATGCTCTTAGAGTGACTGTTTGCTCTGAACTCTGCTCTCAATAGTCAAACCTCCAGAACAGCAGCGAGGTAGAAATTTTGTCCCTGAGTACTGTGGTTCTCCAGGGCTAAAAACACTTGTTTCTAAATCACTGCACTCATGACTTCTTGTCACACAGAGCCTGTGGTGTCAGTAAGCCTTATATTCCCTTTTGTTTGCTTTCAACCTGTCAACTGCGAGCTTAACTGCACGCCTCCTCCTTCTCCTGCAGCGAGGCAGAATGCGTGTTTGTTCCCTACGAGCCTTTCTGTGCTGTTCATGATTTTTCAAACCTTTGTCGTATCCATCGTGAGTCATCTCTCTTCTAGGTTGAAGAGTCCTATGCCACATTTAGTAGCTGTTTGAAGCATGTTGTGAACTATTTTTATTCATACCAAAGGCCTCCAGAATTTACATTTATTAGCAAAACCTTTCAAAAGTCTTGCTTGGCACAGAGAGGGCTCTGTTTTGTCCTGGGTGCAGCTCCCTCTGGGCTGGGGGTGGGATATGGGCCAATAACCTGTCATGAACTGTTCTGTTCTCATTCTGTGGTAACCTGGGCCTCGGCTGGCAGGTGTGAGGGGTGCTGGTACTTGCCTCTTGGGGCAGTCCTCAGGTCATGCTGCTTATCAGGTGCATCATCAGAAACGAGAGAATTTTTTTCCATGCAGACTCCAACAAATTCAAGTTGTGCCCTTTCAGTTTTATTTTTAGGGTCTTGTGGAGTGTTTGGTGACCAACTGCCACCAGACTTGTGTGTGTAACCCTGTATCTGGGAGAAGACTCCCCTGTGAGATGCAGTGCAGCTCAGCATGAGCAGGTCCTTGCCAGCAGTCTCATTGCATCTTCCACCCACTTCCTTCCATTGAGAAGTGCAGTTACTGCCCCTTGCTTTCTGGTTTTGTTGACTCTCAGAAGACATCTCTGTCTAAATCTATGTGACTTCTTAATCTGAGACACTTTATCTTACACACCGGCTAAAATCTAGTTCCTAATGCAGAGTCCCCCCATTCTGTCTTTTTAATAAAAATATCAGGTTTGAAATTTCTGCAGGTTACATCTTTGCCCTGCTTAATGTTTCTGGCTCTAATAGCTGCTGGTCTCAGTAATTCCCTGCCTCCTGGGCTTTGAATCCAAGCTGCCTCTTTGGAGGGATGTGCCTTCCTCCCTCTCTTTCAGCATTGCCCTTCTCAGGAGCTGTGACCCAGACCAAGCAGCTACAGGATGGCTAGTAGCCTGGACTCAAAGAAAAATGATCAGCTGGGGCTCCACAGTGGGGCTGAGACAGAGGGAAACATGCTTGATAGCAGCCTTGACGTTTCCAGTGGCCCTGAATTGCCTGGAAGTACTTCAGCTGCAGAAGGCTGGGGTTTGGGTTGTGCAATGGGCAGAGATGCCTTGCAGAGCCTCTCCTCAGCAGAGCTGGCTGGTGGGAGCCTGCACCTCGGCAGTGCCAGTGCAAGCGGTCGTGTTGCCTTGTGCTCTGATTTCTGCTGCTCCTCACCCATCCCTTGACGGCTCCTGGGCCTCAGCAGAGCTGCGTGTCTTTCTCCATCCCTGCAATGAGGGTGGGAAACGCGAGGGCAGCGCTGGTCGTGGTGGTGATGCTCAGCCTCGTGACCTTTGTTTTTCACAGGGACGAAGCTTCTGGCTTCTGCTACCTGAACGATGCTGTCCTGGGCATCCTGCGGCTGCGCCAGAAGTTTGACCGCGTCCTTTACATCGACTTGGATTTGCATCATGGGGACGGTAAGGCCAGTGCAGGCTGCACACAGCAGAGCAGCACAGACTGAGGGAGGAGCAGCAGAGGTGCAAGCCTGTCGGTGCAGTGGAGTTTCTCTGCTGCAACAGCAGTGACTATCTCCTTTCAGTGCAATCAGATTCCCTCAATCCCCTTCTGCCTTGTCCCAGATTATAGACAAGCCTGCTTGTCAGCTTGGTGTTGCTGAAGTATCCTGCCCTCCCCCAAGGATCTTTTGGGCAGCAGTCACGTATCCGAAGTGGCAAACTGCAGTAATGATGTGGGCTAATTGCCTCTGTCAGAGGCTCTGCAGCAAGAAGACCTCTCCCAGCCCCTCATCTCCCATCCAATAATGTCTAATTGCTTATTGTCACCAGTGCAGGATTATGAGAGGGAAGCAGTCAGTAATAAATGATACTCTTAAAAGAAGGCTTGATGCTATAAAACTAAAGCCAGAGCGGCTCTTGCTGAAGCTGCTCTTTGCTTCAGGGACTTTATTTCAACACCATTTAACACTTCCTGCTTTCCTAACTTTTATGGCGTGTTTCATTTTACTCCATTTTCCCCCCACATTTGGTTTCTGTTAAATTTTCCTGTTATTTCTTTTTCTACCCTTGCTATTTTAATACGTCTTTTAGACAAAGAGAGAGAAAACAAAAAACAAAAAAAAACCCACTGTGTTGAATTGCAGCAGTGCTGAGAATGTGAGCCCAGTAGCTCTGGCTCTAATGAGAACCAAGCCCTGGTCAAGGCAGCCTCCCTCAGCTCCCTCCCTCAGCCCCCCCAGTGCTGCTAATGCAGTCACTGCTCTGGCGTATTATGATTCATTCAGTTATGGTTAGCATGAGAGTTGCCAAATTCATTTCAATTGTGACCTTTGCTGCATCTGAATGCAGGTCTCCACTTCTTAAGGACAGATTTATTGAGCCACATCTGGTTTTCTGTTTCATTAGTTCTGCTCTGCTTGCTGTCCCTTACTTGTTGAGCGGCTCATTTAGGTGTTTGGGCTCTGTCACTTACCTGAAAGATCCGTGAATGCTTGTGTTTTTTTTTTTTTTTTTTTTTTCCTGTTCCCCCTTTCCATAGGTGTTGAAGATGCCTTTAGTTTCACTTCGAAAGTCATGACTGTTTCTCTGCACAAGTTTTCACCCGGATTTTTTCCAGGCAAGTTGAACTTGTGAGGTTTGTTTCAGTTTACACATCACTGACAAGGCACTAGGGAAGGGAGCTCTCGTCTTCTCAGCTCAGCAGAGGTTTCTCACTGCCTCCCTGTCCAGGGCATTGAGTCCTGGCCTGTCCCTTAACCATAGGACCATCTTTTGCTCTTAAAAGACGATGGTCTCTGAACTCTGCTAGCTGGATGGTGGTTGATGCCCAGAGTCCAAGAGCCCTTTCTGAGGTGCCATGATCCCTTGCCTGTGGCAGCCTTTCTCTGCATGATATAGTTTCTGCCATCAGTCAGAGCTCCCTTGAAAGCCAGAACCTGCAGGACTTGAAAGCTTAGCTCTGGGATAGGACAGATGACTAGAACCAGGTGCATCAGAGCCCTTCCTTTTGGGGATGGCAAGAGGGCCACCAGCAGGCTGAGCCCTGGCTCCCTGTTCTCATATGAGACATCCCAACCCTCTTTCTCTTGCTGCTGATCCCTTTTCTGCCTAAACTAACTGTGAGACGTTTCTGCTGTCCAGGCACTGGTGACGTGACAGATGTTGGCCTGGGGAAAGGTCGCTACTACAGCGTGAATGTGCCTATTCAAGATGGCATCCAGGATGAGAAGTATTACCAGATCTGTGAAACGTAAGCCCTCTTGCTCTGATACAGTTTGTTTTCAAGGGATTTTTAGAGAACAGAGACTGCACAGCATTATTTATTTATTTACTGTTTTTAATTAAAGTCTTTCCTGTAGGTTAAGGTTTGTCCTTTCCCCTGTTAGAGTTTTTGATTACGATGAACACAGATAATCCTCAGACATTCCAGAGGCTTCGTCCAAATCCTTGGGTGAACTGGTTATACAGAGGCCTTTGTCGTGGGAGGGAAGGTCTCCGTGCTGTGGGTCAGCCTTGTGTGTTTAAGGGAAGGGAAACGTACTCTTCACTAGGACTCTTAGCTGGACACTTCTGTACTCTTGGCTGGACACTTTTCTTCAAATAAGTGCTCTGAACTCCTAAACATCCGTGAGACACATGTTTGGGGCTGAGCTACAAATGTTTTCAAAGCACCTTTTGTCTGTCCCAGAAGAATGAAAGGCCGAAGCCGTTTCTGTCGGTGACAGAACTGCCTCTTGGCAGACCCCTGCATCGCTTGACGGTGATGTATCTCGCAAGCTGTTGTCCGTGCTGAAGCTGAGCTGTTTGCCTGGCCCTTTCCTAGGGGAGATTAACGTTAGCTGAGGGCTGCAGGATGTGGTAGCACATCCACCTCTTACCATAGCAGCTGAGGGCTGTCACTGCTCAGGATGTGTAGGGCAGTCCCACTGCTCGTGGCATAGCAGCCCTCTTCCTGCTGGGGCTTGTGTTCCCTAAAGGCCGGGCAGCTTTGGGAGCCAAACAGGCAGTTTGGAGCCCAGGCAGGACTAGCCTCTTGCAGACATTCCCAGTTGTCTGCATAGGTCCTACCAGAGGTTTCAAGCTGTGTATCAACAAAGCATCTAAAAAGCAATTTGAAAACTCATGGGCCAACAGGAAGGGTTCTGTCCTGACCAGGAGATGATCATACGTGTGATCATGGGTATCTCACCCAGCTGATGCCAGAGGATCATTACAAGCTCAAATTGCCTATGCTTTCCAAAGCTGGATAGGAACTGGAGCTGGTGACCTGCTCTGACACAGATTTTGGTAGGTCCGTTACATCCTGTGCAGAGCATTTCCTCGTATTCTTCTCCTCGGTGTCCCCTGCTGGTGAGAGGAGATCTGCTCCTTGGCAGCCCGTTCTTCTTGGTGGAGGTGCTGTCAGCTCAGGCGTTCCCAGAACAAGAAGCCAGGGAAACATGATGCAAAACTATCTCCTCTCCCTGTGTCTTGGGGGTAACTGCTTCCCTTGTCCCTATGGAGACTTAACCACTGCAGCTCAATGACCTAAATAAAGAAGGAGTTTGCTCATGGGGTCTTGGAATATGTACCCTTTGAACTTGCCCTTCCATAAATTACCCTGCTTGTGTTTGATTGCTTTTGTTGTAGATAAACTCCTGCCCTACTTGTGGGTGGCATGACCCATGTATAAGTGCCTATTGTTTCTGCAGAGCAAATGGCTCAGGTGCCACTTAAAATACAGTGTTAATAATAGCTACTGTGTGTGAAAGAGGGGCAAAGTGTGACTTTTTCATTTTATATTATTTCCTGGAAGGTCTGATGTATCTCTAAACGTTTGAAGGCAAAGGCAGCCAGAGATGCAAAGCCTCCAGGCTGGGGTGGGGTTGGCAGCAGCAGCAGCGCTGGGTGCTGGGCTGCTGCAGTGGGCAGGAGACGCAGCCCGGGCACGTTTCCACTCTCAGCCCTCGGGGAGCCGAGCTGCTCACAGAGCTTCTCCAGCAAAAGGAAAGTTATGAGGGTCTGGCTAATCATAAGAGCATCCCGAATGACTCACTTGTTTGATCACCTTCCAAAAAATGCCCAAATTAATAAATCAAATCCATTCTGCTGGTATGTCAGTATACTTACCTGGAATCTGGATATTAATCTTTTGAAGCTCAAAAGAAAGGTGCCACATGTGAGAGACATTGTTATAAGTGCAGAAAACTAAAATAAGAAATAATCCAGAGACATTCAAAAGACAAAGAGAAATCTGAGGTATTTAAATTGCTGTAACATTTCATATTGCAAACTGGCACTCAGTTCTACCAGGATTGAATCATTTATTTCTTTTCTGATTCTGTCGGTAATGTTAGAAAAAAAAAATCTGACCAGTGTTTGCCTGTGTTGTTATAAATGATGCACACCCACTGTGTTAATACTGTGCATAGAGGTGGATGCAGGAGGAGGATTTGACGTTAGCTAGGGCAGGCTGAGCTGCACGACAAAAATCTGCTTATCTGGAGGTTGGATTGTGGCCATTTTTCAGTGGTGAAACAAGATAGAAATGTAAGTTCCTTCCAAAGAAAGCAGGCAGAACCTTTGTAGCACCAGTGCTTTGGCATGCCTTGCATGTAGCCAAGAAAGATGCTATTATTTCTATATTTACAGTGTATTTTCAGTATTTACACAATGAAGGAGGGATGGTTGGATTGGGCATGTACCTCAGCAGCCAGAGGCCCGGGTGGTGGCCCAGCCTGGTGGCGCTGATTGCTCTCAGGGATGTGACTCCCACAAGCAGAGCCGGTTCCTCCTTATCTGATCCCATGGGCAGCTGCAGAATCCTGGTGGCAACGTGGATCTCTGTAGGTGGATCCCACCTTTCAGACTCCTGAAAGGTGGCTGGCTCTTTTTACACTTCAAGGTGTAAGTGCAGAAGGCTTAAAAAGCACCTTGTGGCCTCCAAAACAGGGCTAGCATGTCTCAGAGGCAATGCTAGCCAACAGCTTTGTGGAAAGCTGCCTTTCTCTTTCCCCCTCCAGCTTGCTTTTCCCACTAGCCTTGCACTGGCCAGCCCTGCTTCATCTTGTCCATCCCAGTTCTCTTAATTAAGTTTTAGAGCACTGGAAGCCTCGGAGTGCAAGGAGCAAGAGCAGGGAGTTTCCCAGGCTGTTTCTGTGCCGGTAACAAAAGGCCACTTCTCTGGCAGCCATTCCCTGTTTTCCTTGGGGAGCTGAGGGGGAATGAATTGGATGCTGGTGAAAGAAGCGCCTTGGGGAGGTCTGGAAAGCAGGGAGCACCCGCTCGTCACCGCCCCGCAGGGAGGCACCGCGAGGAGCAGCCCACGGAGCACACCCGGGAGCGGGAACCGGAGCAGTTCTCACCAGGGCACTTTGCAAACTGCTTACGGGGGATCAGCTGAAGCATAGGCAGAAGGAAGGGGATGGGAAGCACGGGTGGAAGGGATTGCTGGTGCTCCGTCAGTTTAGCTTCATCGTCAGGTCAAACTTTTAGCCTGTGTGTGAGTGCCTGTAAAAAAATGGAAGGAGTCGAGGCTGCAGAAAAGCCCTTCTGACTTCCCAAAACACCAGGAGGAGTTGCACTCTCCCTGAGCACAGTGCAGAGAAGGGGGCTAAGCTATCTTCATGCATTAATGGATATCCCAGGAGTTATAGAAAATGCCGTCGTGTCAGGGGGATTTTTTTTTTCATTTGGGTAATATCTGTAATGTGCTTTGAAGATAAAAAGCCCTGGGAGGCAGCGAACTTGGTTTAAAAGTCCTAATGCAGCCAAGAAAAACTTGCAGGGATGTGCTGAAAGATTCTTCTCTATCCTTGCTGGGAGATCTTGCTGAGGAATATTAAGAAGTCCTGGCTCAAGGCTTAGTTCAGAGTGGCTGGGAACAGTTTATATATGTCCAAGTCAGTTTTGGTCCTCCTTGCTCCAAAAAAGAGTAGTGCTACGTGGGCCTTGGAGTCGGAGAGCTGTGTGAGCAGAGGAGGAAACGCAGCGCACATCCCTTGGAGAGGCCTTGTCGCTCTCTACACCTGCCTGAAGGGAGGCTGTAGTGAGGCAGGGGTTGGTCTCTTCTCCACAATAACTACGGGTAGAACAGGAGGAAATGGCCTCGAGTTGCATCAGGGGAGGTTCAGGTTAGATATTAGGAAAAAATTCTACACACAAAGAGCGGTCAGGGCTGCCCAGGGTAGTGGTGGAGTCACCATCCCTGGCAATGCTCAAGAAATGTTTAGTTGAGGCACTTAAGGATGTGGTTTAGCAGGCCTGGTATGGAAGGGCTTGCAGTTGTACTCGATATTGAAGGTCTTTTCCAACCATAATGATTCTATGATCCCTAGTTCGGATTTACCCTAACCTTATACCTACACTAAGCCATAACCCTACACTATATTCATAACCCTATCTTTGGCTGGTAGATCATCATGTGGGTATATTTGTTTTTTCTCCAGCTGCTAATGATTCCTGTGGTTCCTTATAGCTATGACACCTATGTAATGTAGCATGGCCTGGTGCTCTTGTGTGCGGGTTGAGTTTTCTCCAGAGGTGCCTGTATGCCCATGGTTTGTGGTGTTTGCAGGGCTGGTGACCTCCTGCTCACAGACATCTGCCTTCACCGAGGGCGTTTGCTCAGTGGGCTTCCTTGTCAGGGTGCAGTGACTCAATGAGTTGCCCAGGGAGCGGCTCCCAACTGGTTTGTAACTGCGTATCAGCTGGGATCTGGAGATACTCAGGTTCTCTGTTTTGCTGTCTTAGCCAAGGCAGAACCGTTCAATCCAGGGATCACATCTGCTTCTACTTTAGGGAAATAAAAACACTATTGAGAAAGGAACATGTTTTTCTCCCTTATTTGCCCTGTGTTTTGTGCTCCCCAGCACAGCATTGGGAACTGTACTATTCCCTTTGTGTTCCTCTAAATACCAAAATCTCCTGAAGTAGAACCAAATGCATGATGTGCCCAGCAGCCTTCTCCAAGAGAGTGTTTCTAATAGCAAATGGTCAACAGGATGCCATCCTTGCCGTACTCCAGCGTCTGCTAGATCCTCAGGGAAGTGCTTTTCTGCCTTAAGAGCCATATGGGAGAGTGTAGTGAGAAGTTGGGCAGAATCCTCCTCTGTTTGTCTTTTCCCATCTTTGAGAGAGATGTTCAGGAGTGTTTATTCACCAGTCACCACTCCTCAGTCATCCTAACTGTTCCAATGAGGAAAAGAGATGCACTGCTATGTTGGGGTCTGGAAAAAGGTGATTGGGTTTAGTAGTGTAGGTGAAGGCAAACCCTCTGGGAGTTTGAGTTGACGTGACAAGTATGGGATAGAGCAAGTGGAGGCTCAGGAAATCTTGATAGGCATCAGGTGGCTTCCAGGGAGAGGGACTCTGCAGGGCAAGGAGCAGGTTTCCCCAGCCCAGCACTGATCCCACACCATCTGATTAAGGCTTCGTCCCTGCCTCTGTTTAGTGGCAAGACCGCAGCTCTTTGAGGTCTTATCTCAAGAAACCACTGGGTCTTTATAGTCTCTTCACCTTACTTTTTAGATGTTGTTGAAGTAATGGTTGGCAAGGAGGCAGTGAAGTCTTTTATTTGTGGGTCTGTCAGGGTCTGGGGTATGTGGGAAGGCCCTGCCTTGGGCCCAGCGCTTCCGTGAAGCGCTTGTGAAGCTGCCAGCCTGCGGTACGTGCGCGACGTTGAGGCGTGGGGCTCCCAGAGCTACCTCTGCCCTGGCGTTTTGGAAGGGGGGCAGGTTCTGGCCGCCGCAGCCCTGAGCAAGGCAGCAGCATCCATTTGGCACGGGTACCTGTGCTCACCCCAGCGCCTCTCCTGCAGCGTGCTTAAGGAGGTGTATGCAGCCTTCAACCCAGACGCCGTCGTGCTGCAGCTGGGGGCAGACACCATAGCCGGAGACCCCATGTGCTCCTTCAACATGACGCCCGAGGGAGTGGGCAAGTGCCTCAAGTACGTGCTGCAGTGGCAGCTGGCGACCCTCGTCCTGGGAGGAGGTGAGTACGCGCGTGAGCTTCGGGGTCCCTGGAGGAGCAGGCTTGTCCTGATGTGGCCGTTCCTTGGGAACATGCTCTCTGGACTCCAAACCCACCTGAGTTTAGAAGGGTGGCTCATGTGGTCATCATGAGGAAGGCACTACAGCTGCTACAGTGCTGTTTTTACACAACACGAGATCCTTGCAATCATCAGGTCCAAGTCTCAATGCTGGCCCCAAGATCCTGAGTTAGAGGTTACTTAGCTCCTCTTGAGGAGAGCAGAGGCTTTTAACCTGGTGAGCTCTGCCCGTGGCTTCTCAATGCCATCCTTGAGTCCCAGCGCGGCTCATCGGCCCTGCAGGGCTTCTCCTTAAAAGTGAGTGCTGTTCCTGAACCTACTGTCTTTGGATGCAGGCTGGGGCTTTGTAGACGGGCTGGCTGCTTGCATGGTGTAGCAGGGCTCTCGATCCCCAGTGAAAGCTAAAGTGGACCAGTCTATGCCAGCTGCTTGTCCCATAGGGAGAGCACAGTGCAGGCCTCTTGCAACCCAGTGTTTCTATAAAAAACACTCTGTTGGGGAGAGCGTCCCAGCTCTGGGCCTTAAATCTCAGATTGAATACAGTATGCTTAGTCTAAAATATAATATACCTGGTACGGACTGTTTTGGAAAGGCACCTTTAAAGCAGAGAGAAACCTCAAGACTTTTACCAAGAAATGTGAGAAAACTTCCTCATGGTGAAAACAACAAAGCAATGTCTCAGCACCACAGCTTGCAAAGACATGACACGTTGCAGTTGCAGAATGAGGTCAATGCTTCCTGAAAAGCAAAAGGAGGGGAAGATTGAAGATTATGGTCATCCTCTCCTGGAAGAAAAAAAAAAAAAAAGAAAAAAAAAAAAAAAAACCACCTCTTGAAGCTCTTTAGAATCTTTTAAATTATTTTAAGCCACAGTTCCTCCTTGTGAGGACATGCCCGGTTTTGACCATTGCCATGCTCACGAGGAGACCTCATTTACTGGAAAAGCAGTTACAAGTTGAACTTACTGTGATCACATTTGTCCTCACATCTGTGCTCCAGAGCCCACTGATGAACGTCCCCCTTTCCTGCAGGACCTTTTGCATGTGACCTTGCAGCAGGAGCAAAATGCAGTGGTTGTGCGTGGCTTGGGTGGGTGAAACAAGGAGCTTTATCCTGCAAGCTGCTAGTTTTACCCTCACAGTTTGTTCCTTCTAGTAAAACCTCTCCCCCTCTCTTCCCTTGCCCCTTCCAACATCTCAATTCTTGCTGGAGACAGGAGGCTACAACCTTGCCAACACAGCTCGTTGCTGGACATACTTGACGGGGATCATCCTCGGCAGAACGCTGTCCTCCGAGATCCCCGACCACGAGGTAAGGCTTTGACAATCCCTCCCTTCTCCAGGTGAGAGAGCTCAGCCATTCCACCTAATCTCGGCCGCGTCCTCGCCGCTCAATGCCGTTTTGTTGAGAGACCCTCCTGTAACAATACTGCACTGTCCCAGCTACATAGTGGCTGCTTGTTCCCCAAACCCAGACTGTCTGCATCTTTTTGTGAGGCATCTCAGAGCCAATCAACTTCAGAGCCTCAGGTGATTGCAGAGGGGATGGGGATGGGGAGCTGACCTGTTTGCTCAAAGAGCTCTTCAGGAGGTGCACATGCTTTTGCAAGGGGAGAGACAGACCTTGCTCAAACTTCACATTTTAGCGCTGCTTTCACCTGCTTAAAGAAAGCACCAGGTGCAACTTTCAAACTTTACTGACTGGGAGTCTTCCAAAGGCAAAATGCTGTTTATATGAACTACCACGAAAGGCTTTGTGCCCGTATTGCCGTCCCTACAGCTTTGCTTATACATCATTCTGCTCCTTATATAGTAGAAAAAATGGATATGTGCTCTCTGGCTCCTGGCTTTGAGGTGCTTATGAGCTGCTAATAAAAAGGCACCGGGAAGAGTGTTCCTTGTGGCTGGGCTTGTTCCCTTACTATCCGCTGCAGAACCCCCTGAGAGCTGATTTGCAGCTGGAAGTGAGATCTGGGCGCTACAGTGTGTCCCCCAGGCACGTGGAATCACTTGCAGCTCTCTGTGACCTGTGCAGGTCTTCAGCAATGGAGCAAGGCAAGAGCCGGGTGCCACGTACGTGTCTTTGCCCACATATGGCCGTTGTGGGCTTGCCTCAAAAGTAAGGAAGTTTGTATCTTTGCATCAGTGTGAAATTTTTGTCTTCCCTAGCTGGGCATTGGGCTCGTGTCCTCTAGCAGGAAACCAAGAGCCTAATTTCTGTGCTCACTAATAGCTCCAGATGCTCTTTTTCATATCAATGTATAATCCTGTTTTGAAATGTATTAAGCAGTTTGTATGGAGTATCCTGAAGCCCAGAAACACAGGCCAAGGCCCACAGTTTTTCAAAGGATTTCCTGTATCAGTTTTAAATCTGTATTCTTGTCTCTTCCCATTGGAGATAGTCTGTGTTTTAGCTCTTGAACTAGAACCAAGATCAACATTTTCTGAAACCAACTGTCCTGAGAAGATCATTGAGGAATTGTGTTTGTTTTCTTTGATACAACTTCGATGCAGTTATCTGCCCCCTCTCTCTCCTCCTAAATTGGATCATTTCATAATGCCGAACATAATATTTACTCAGCCAGGAGTAAAGGTCCCTCTAATGCTTTCATTTTGGATGCTGCAAGGTCATTTGCATTGAAACTGAGATGGCTGAACTTTGCCTGCTGAAGAGCACTGTTGGCAGCTTGCCCTGAGCCTGGGCAGCCCTGCCCAACAAGCAGGAGGTAAAGTGGCTTTTGCGTTTGCTCTCATGTTGCTGCCCAGAGCGCGAGATAAACACTGGGCACTGAAGCACGCCGGGTTGAAGGGGCATCTGATCGTCTGCTGTCCAGATACAGGAGGAGCGTGTGGTGCTTTGAATGGCCTTACTGAGTGTCCTGGGTGCTTCGGACCTTTTGGAAAGGTTCCGTGCTCTGGGATCCTCCCGCTGAGGAAGCCCCAGGGGACTGTGTATCCTTGCTCTGTGAGCACACAGTGTAAGCAAGGCAGAAAAGGATTAAACGTAGCTCTGTTTTGCACCCGCCTGGGGACATTTCGGCTCTGTGGGATCGTGTGCTCTGGCTGCACTCACGGGACCCAAAGTGGAGCCAAATGCCTTGGGGAAGGGACATGGAGGTGCCAGCCAGTGCCTGGCACAGGGGGTGGTGACAGAGGACACTGCTACTGTGGGAGGAGGCCCTGGGGCAGACCGAGTGCCCTGGGCCAGTTTGCAGAGGTCTTCCCTCTTCAATCCTGTCCTTTTTTATGCTCTTTTCATGAGCAGCAATCAAAGGGGTAAGCTGCAGCCCTGCTAAGGTAACACAATCTGGACACGGTCCCATTCCTGAGCTGTCCATCTTCTCCAAGGGACCCCAGGAGGGCTGGAGCAGCAGCAGCAGCTCGGCCCTGTTGAGGGAACAAGGGGCACTTTGTTCCCGCTGCTGCAGCTCCCACAGGCACATCCTGGGCTTCTCAAGAAGCACAAGCTCCTCAGCAAAACCCAAGAGAACTGGGAAGCGGAGTGGAGCCCTCCTTGGAGAGGGCCTTTTCCCCTTCCCAAGCAAGCTTTCTTCCCAGACCATGTCTGCACTGCTTTTGCACTCACTGCAAGTGTAGTTGTTTCATACATTTTACCCCTTGTTTCATTGGGATGTTCTTAAATAATAAATATGGGCATGCAACGGGGAGGACTGGGCCTCCTTCACCACGTCAAGTGAGCAGTGCTGTCCACAAAAGTGTCAGTTTAGTCTCCTCCTTTATCAGTGGCCAAGAGCAGACTCAGAGTATAAACATCAGTGCAAATAGATGTTCTCAGGATACTCTTCCAGCTTTCAGTGATTTATGGCCAAGAAATATCCTACTGTCTCTGAATCTGAAAGTTCTTCATGGCATTTCTTTAGTGATTTTGTTCAATGGTTTGTTTAAATTACTAAAACTAATAACCGTGTCCTTTGGCCAGGCACTTCTCAGCTTAGTGGTGCATTCCATGGGGAATGTCCTTGTTTTCTTTACTTCTTAATATGTTATGGATGCGTATCCTAGGGTTTTCCCTGTTGGCATTTCCAGGTGTTTTGCAAAACATGGCTTATCCAAAAGAAATAGGATGTGGCGTTGTCCTCACCTGGAACCCCCTGGAGCAGGCCGATCCACTCCAGGGAATGAGGACAACAGGTCCAGTGCAATAATAGTGTCTGTAGCACTGAGATTTCAAGTGATGAACATAACTATACCTATATAACATACCAATCCTATGGATGGATTTTACATACGTACGGCACTGTCATCCTGCATCTTCTGAGCTTTCTGCTTGCCTAATACAATCCAACATTGAGGAACTTCTGGATAGGTTATTTCTGCCAATTCTACCCACCCTGTGTACTACAGTGTGTAAGCTTTACTGTATTATTATTTTTTTTTGGTGGGAAGTTTGTCGAAAGATACCTATAATGATATGTGCTGGGTTGGCAATAGTTACCAGGACTTCTAATTTAAAAATAAATGAATTAGAGAGAGAAAAAAAAAAAAAAAACAGGCTCATGAAACCTAGACATGGAAAAAATAATGGCTTTGAGATATCAAAGCTCCCCCTCCAAAGTAAACTGGCACCCAGTGCAGAACATTCCCTTTTGTTTATGCTCTCGGTCTTTATCTGGGTTTAGATAATGGAAGCGGTTGGGCTTCCACCACTTCCTTTAGGAAAATTCCAGTTTCAGAGATATTTCCGTAACAGGACGTGCTCAGATTTTTGGTTAGGTCCCTCTGTTTGGTTTTGTCCCAGGATTCCCAGTCCTCGGATCAGATGACACCCACTTGTTCTCAGGACCTAGACCTCGCGATTTGAGACTCCAGCAGCTCTTTTTGCAGTTTGCATATTTGATTCTTGCCATCCTTCCTTCCACCATAAAAGTTTTCTGGCCTTCTCTCATTTGAGCTGGAAATGGCATATTTTGGTTAATTTGTGTTCATGTTTTCAAGTAAAATGGGAAGCAGTGCAGCTGTGTAGCAAAACCCTGAGTAATTTCTCCAGGGGTTGCACACCCAGTTGCTTGGTAGTGACTGAGGTCTGTGCCTGAATCTCTGGTAGGAGAAAGGCTGCAGCACACAAATGTGCTGAAAGGCTTCTCTGAGTCAAGGCAGGAGATTTGCCTTTGATTGGGTTCACAGGCACCATCTCTGGAAGACAAGCCCAGACCCATTATAAGAAATATCTGTAAGTTCAGGTTTGTCCACATGGATTTGTATGGGATGGTTCAAACTGACATTGTCGGCGTGGTCAGCTTGAGGAGAAGGACTAGAGCTTGGCTGTGGAGTGGCACTGCCGACCTGCCCAGTGCTGGTGATAGGACCATTCTGGCCTTTGGTGACATTTCTGGACAGTGCTGTGTGATCTCAAGGAACAGGAGACTCTCTAGGGCATTGAGGATGCTGCTAATTCCAGGCTTAGCCAAGTAAACCTCATAAACATCAGAAAACATCATCCCCAGCCTGCAAAGGGCTCATTCTTTTCTTCTCCATCAGCTTTGGGAAAAAGAGCAGGGCAGTAAATGATGCTATGACAGAGGTGGGCCCCTGACAGTAACACGGTGCCCCTTGTGCCTGTGGCAGCTCCAGCCTTCCACAGGGAGCCTTAAAAATGCTGAACCTCTGCTAAAATGCTCCGGATTTCACTGTCTTCAAATACAAACCCATGTGGGGCAGAGGGAGTGAAGAGTCTTCTGAGGCTGTGACATTTCTTGGGCTTTCATGTGCAGCATCGCGAAGGCCCAGCAGTCAGAGAACCATGTGCTGCCTCCTTCACAGGCCAGCGCAAACACGCTGTCAGGCAGCTGTTTTGTTTGCCTCTCCTGAGCCTAAAGTCTATGATAGGAAACAGCTCTGCATTATTTTCCAGTCCTTGTTTTGCAGCCTTTCAACTAATGCAGGAACCAACGTATCCGCCTGTCATTCTGGAGGAAGTGTTATTCCTGGAGGCTCCGCTGCGGCCCTTGCTGACCGGAGCCGTTTACCTGTCAGTGGGAGGTTAAAAGCTGAGGCTGGTAAATGAGTGGAGCTGTGAAAAGGGACTCACAAGTTGTGCTCAGAAGGCAACTGCAGCCTGACGGGTGGAGGGAGGATGTTTTCTCGTGGTCAGGCTCGCATCCCTCCAGGGCGGCTGGCAAGGAGGGGTCCCTCTCCGTCCCTTAAGCTCAGAGGCTGCGAGGGTCAGTGCGTTACATAAAATGCACTTTATCTTTTTCTAGCAGATTCACCTTGCATCAGAGCATGATAGAAGGGAGTCAGGAGCTGGGCAGTGCTTTGCTTTGCCTTGCTGCAGTGCCTGGACGAGGCACTTTCCAAAGCCTTTCCTGGTGATGGGAATCCCTTCTCCTCCCTCTCTCCGCTTGGCTCGCAGTGATTTCACTGTATATGCAGAGTACATTCACTGTATTTTTTTCCTCCTTTTGTCCAAATATACTAGTAGAAGATATTGTAGTTCCTCATCTTACTGCAGGTTCCACACCAGTGCTTTGAGGGGCTGCCTGATTGCTGCTGTTTTGCAGTTGAGAATGAGACATTATCATCTTGCCTGAATCTTGCAGAGCCTCCAGAGAGAAGATCCCGCAGTAGCTCCTGCTGACTGGCTTTGCATGTGTGGGGAGTCCTTCCGAGCTGCACATTTTTGCCCTCTAATCTTTCCCTGACATAAACCCAGGCTGCCTGTGCAGTGCTGCAAGGGCAGGTCAGCATGTGTGGGGTAGGCTGCTGGAAGCAGATTTGAAAATAAATGCGTCCCAATGGTGGGAGGTTGGCTAGTAAGTCTAGTGGGCACGTTGGGTGAAATATTTACACAGCTATGAGATAACTTGAAGGGAAGTAGTGTGGACAATGTGTGTACTTATGTATGTATGTGTGCATGTGGGCACGGAGCTGGTGTCCGTTTGTCACATTCTCAGGTTTATTCTGCTGCTTCTGGCAAAGACCCACTAGTGATTTAATAACTTGTCAGCACCTAGGCACAGAAACAAAGGTTGGTACTTCCTGGTCTCTTATTTTCTCTGCTTTAAATAGGAATTCCTATTCTGATTAACATGGAACCTGGAAGTGGAGCTGTCAGTCTGGGCAGCTCTTTGCGTTCGGCACCGACTTCCCGAACGGGATCAGCCTGACCGCAGTCCAGGCTGCACTTTCCTGCTGTACAAACCCAGGGCTCCGCTGGCCTTTCCAAGGAAGCTGCTGCGAGTTCACGGCTGGGACGGGGCACTGCTGAGGCACATGGCTGTGAAGCAGCGAGCTTGCTTGGCTCTCAGTGTATTTCTCTCCCTTTCAGCCATGTCCCTTCAGATCAGAACTGAAATCGGGAGGACAATTTTAGACTTTTGTAAGATAGCTTTTTTTTTTTTTTTTCTTTCCTCTTGGCATATTTGTCAGATCTGGAGTTACTCACAAGAAAATACCCTTCTCATTTAAAGACATTATTACTTCTCCCCAATTTTTAAATTTCTCCTCTTGATGCCACTGAAATCACAGGGAGATGCAGAACAGCTCCTTCCCCAGAATGAGCTGTGCCTCATATCGCCCAGCTTGGACGTATCGCACTGATGGCACAAAACCACACAAAACCTGCTGTCCCAACGCCTGTGTGACACGCACCTGAGAGCAGCTACTGCTTGGTCTACAACTACTGTGGTTTTAGCGTGCTGTTTCATGAAAACTGCAGTCAAGATTTTATGTGTATTTCCTCTTTTTTTCCTTCAAACAAGAGAGCTTGGCTGTGAGCTTTGCCAGCAGAGCCTGTGTGCTCTTGGAGAAGCTGTTCCCTGCACACACTATGTGAGTGCAAACTTCAACCAGACTAGGGCTCCAGCCCTCAGTGAGGGCTTCCCCAAGAACCTGTTGGCTCCTTCTACTGTAGCCATTTTCATTCTTTTTAAGTCGAAAAAATGCTAAGCGTTCTCCTCTGCTTGTCAGTATTTCAGCAAGGGCTCCCCGGAGCGCTGTCTGGGCCGAGAGGGGGAAAGATGTGTGGAACAGACTGCTTGAAAACTGTGTCAGTCCCGGGGCTGCCCGCAGAGACACTTGGTAGAAGGAACATTTGGGCTCCAGGGAGCTGAGCGTGCGCTGCAGGGCTGGTGCCTCCCGTGTGCACTGGTTCTTTAATCAGCCAGGAGCAGTCAGAGCAGAACGCAGCTTCCTGCCGCCCCATGTTGGTTTGGGGGATGGAGGGAATCTCATCCTGATGCTAACGATAGCATAGATCAAATGAACGACTTGCTAGGAAGGAAATAATGCACGATCTGTGTTGCTTGCTGATGAAATAAGACTGCTAGTGATAACATATAGGATTCTACGTGATCGTGCAAAGGTGCTGTGGGTCTTGTTGAGCCTGGAGAGACGTGCGTTTTAACGTGGAGGCACTCGGATTTTCCACCTTCCAGGTGCTGGAAGGCACAGTCATACCAGCAGGTGTTGCCCAGTGGTCGCCGTCGCTAACTTCAAGCAGGCAGAGGCACTGCAGAAGCACGACTTTGGCATACTTGAACTATGTGTTCCCCCTCAGAAGGAGAAAATATGCTTTTCCTTTTCACAACCAGGTACCTGTGGGGAGCTATCCTGCAGCCTCAGGCAGCCAGAGACCTCTCTTTTGACTCTCTTCTCTCCTTCCTGCAGTTTTTCACAGAGTACGGTCCTGATTACGTGCTGGAGATCACACCGAGCTGCAGACCAGACCGCAATGAGCCACAGAGAATTCAAGAGATCCTCAATTCCATCAAAGGTGAGTTCTCCACCCCGAGACAGCTCTGCTGGTTCAGAGGGACCAGCTTATAATAGCATTATGCCAAGTACCCTGAAGCTTCTCAGGTCAAAGTGGCAACGTATAAGCTCCATGTGTCACACACCAAGACTTTCACATTCATCAACTTTGAGAAAGGAAACAAAAAACAAAGGGGCCAAACGTCATTTGAAATGGATCTGATTTTTACAGGGGACCCATTTTCACCATCTCAGCATTTGCAAGACATGGTGGAACAGGCTGGCGCAGTGGCAGTATGCAGAGAACCCCTATTTGTTCTGGGATCTCCTGGTTTGTGGCCAGTGTCTTGGAATTAAAATTCCTCGGGGGCGGCCCTGGGGAAGGAAGAAGCCTTCGAGCCACTCTGGTGGCCTTGTTCGTCCTTTCCACCTGCGCCAGCTCATGAAGCCCATCGAGGAAGGCAGGGGGTGACAGAAGAGATGAGAAGTAAGAACAAGCAGATACCTGGAAGCCCTCACCCCCTGCCTGGCCTCATCTAGGCAGCTCTTGGGAAAGCAGCAGGCAGCAAGTGGAGCTCAGACTGGATGGGCTCTTCTGGCAAGCCTGGGCTGTCCTGTATGCCACGCTTTGCACTGCACGGGATGAGTCCTCAGGAGTGGACTGATTTAATAGGAGCCACATGCCCAAGCTCTTTTAAGACCGTGGCATGCAGACAGCCCAAATTAAAGCCAGTTTTTATTGAAATCTTCCCAGCACAGGGACTGCTGTCCACAGTTATGTCGGGTAGTGACTTGGATCATGCTTCCCTTGGCTTGTTAAGAAGATTAAGAAAAAAAAAAAGTAAAATTGCTGTGGTCTCGGTTCTCAGTTGCAAGGCTGAGCCCCATCCCTTGTGTACGTGCAAATCCAAGGCCTTTCCCTGCCCTTCACAGTAGGGGGTACCTGGAGAAGCGGCCTCTGCAGTCAGCCTCCCCCCCAGGTTGAGATAGCGCATCGTGGGTTACGTCTCAGTGGAAACATCTCTGTCTCTTTTTCTTTTCAGGGAACCTGAAGCACGTTGTTTAGTGGAGCAGGGAAGAGGGAGCACCCCGGAGCACGTCCCTGGTGTTGAAGACGGCGCTGTTTCTGGCAGCGGGGCTGCAGGGGAGACGCGGCAGGAGGGGCTTTCGCTTCGTGGGTCGGTTGATTTGTTTCTCTCTCAAAAAAGTTGCCAGGCACCACAGCCCTCCCCGGGCAGGAGCGCACGGGCCTCGCAGCTCCAGCCTTCCCGCGCCGACCCAGCCGCGCTCACCCCCTTCTCTTTCCTTTTTAAACAACACAGAGTTTTATTCTCACCACCGGGTTTAAGGGGTGTTAAGAGAGGGGCCGCTCAGAGCTGCAGCCCCTCCGCAGCTGGGCCCTGGCAGCAGCACCAGCTTTTACCTCGTTGCCTTCCTGGCAGGACCACGGCCTTCGCACGACGCCTCTGAGGTGCCCACCCAGGCAGAGGTGCCAGGGCCAGCCAGAAAGTCACAGCCGTTGGGTTTTTAAACTGTTGGGCATTTTTTACAAATAAAATACTTGAAATACCCATGCCCTTGCTTCTGTTGTTGTGTTCCGCCTGCCTTCGGGGAGCTCTTGTACAGCACCTTCCATGGGTCGGTCTGTGGAGGTCCCACAAGCTCTCTGGAAATGGGGCAGTGTGGGGGGCAGTCTGGCTTCCACCCCCCATCTCCTTGACGTTCCTCCACATTTTCCTGTGCGATGCGGGTGCCGGGCTCATCGCGGGGCGAGGGCAGCACCCCCGTGGCTGGATTGAGGGAGCCCAGCAAGGCACCCTGGCTGCTGCAGCCCCTCGGGACAGGAGAGCCGGAGGGGGTTTGTGACCGTCCCTTTGGCTCCGACAACGTGAAGCAGCGCAGAGTGTTTGTGGGGGCAGGTGAGTCACCGAAATCCTGTGCGGGGCTGGTTCTGGGCAGATCCCTCCCGGCACCAACAGGGCACTCCAGGGACTGAGGCGTTGGCCTCCCTTGTCCCCTTGTTCATCTGGGCCACAGGGCTTATATTTGTATCATTTCTTTTAAAAAATACCTAATGGATGTGGGAAAGCAAATTTCCTGTTGCTTTAATTAGCTTTCGCTGGAATAAATAGCAAGACCAAGGGCCGCCTGGCCTGGCCCGGCTTTGTTTTGATCCCTTGTTTTCCACTTCTGCTGCAAACAACAGGAAATACAGCACGGACGGAGCTCGGCTGGACGTGGCTCCCACGTCCCTGCGCGCTGCCCGGTGACCCCGGCTCTGCCCGCCTGCCCGCAGGATGCTCACACTGGAACCGGGCTGCCCCCTCCGTGCTGGAGGGAGCTCCTCGCCCCGCTGGGAGATGTGGTGCTTCAGGGGAGAGAAGAAAAACACATCTGGGTTAAAATGGGGACCTTCCTAGCGCAGTTTCCCTGTTGTTGCACAGAAAGCCCCGGGCACAGGGTTGGACAGCAGTACAGTGACAGAGAGCTGGGCCACCCCAAAGTCGCCTGCCAGGGAAGTGAGGCACCCACAAGAGTGTCCAGGACCCTCGTCGCTGCGCTCGTCGCACCCCATTTCTTGCAGCGTGGGAGAAAGAGGGCCCAAACGTGGGCAGCAGCCTCCCGGGCCTGCTGCAGCAGCGCGGCTGGGAGCGGGCGAAGGGGATAGACGCTGGGGCTGCCCCTGCTCTGCCCCGCGCGCCGGCCTCCCCGCGGCTCTGCTGCCTGAGGTGCTGCGTGTGGAGGTGTTTGGAGCCGGTGCTCCCCGGTGCTGGGGGAAGGTTGGGGACCCAGGGTAAGGTTGGGGACCCAGGGCATGGCTGTAGTCCCCAGTGGCCCCCACATCTCCCCTGAGACAGGGAGCCCCCATGGCTCCCGCTCTGGCCCAGCCTCTCCTTCCCCAGCTGCTCCCTGAGAGAAAAGGGCCAAGACTCAAACTCACTAAAAACTAGAAAAACAAATAAACAAAGAAGGAAGCATCAGCCTAATGTCTAGCAGATGGAGCTGTAATAGCATTAGGTCAGGGACTGCAGTGAAAAGGGGCTGGACAGCGCTGGCAGGGGGACATCTGCCACACTGGGGCAAATACACCGGGGTCACCTGCCTGGGGGCAGCCGGGGAAGATTCGGGCTGGGGCAAGACCACCTCTCTGGTCTCAGGGTGACCTCCCTGTCACCTCCCCAGCTGCTGAGGGGCGTCTGGGGCTCAGTGTGGCAGAGGGATGAGTATGGAGCGGGACACAAGGGCTGCGGAGGGGGAGCCCTGTCCCCCTCACGGAGCTCCCCATCCCCGTGTCCCCCTCAGCTGGCGGGCCAAGGCCCGTGTCACCCTGGCCAGCCCTGGCACCCCTGTCCCCCCGTTCTGCCCCCAGCCTGCACGGGGGAACAGGGGGTCCAACAGGGCTCCACACACGGCTGGGGGTCGGGTAGGGACCCGTGCTGGTCCGAGGCTGCAGGACAGGCGGGCCACAAGGGGTGTCGCAGCCTGGAC